ACTTGGGCACCTGAAAACCCGTTGCGGCTGCAGCGCGGGTGCTTGGCTGGGGCTCGCACGCAAAACCCGCGGCTTTTGAGACACAGAGAGAAAGACGTTCCCTTCGGTACTGCTGCCTCGGGTTAAATTGTCTGGAACTATTGGTTTGGAATAAATAAAAATACAATTTTCTCCTCTTTCATCTACTCACCCCAGCAGCATGTTTCGTCAGAAGGGAGATACGTGCCTTCAGGGTTGCCTTCATTACTTGACTAATGCATCTGTTTATACACAGTCTTCAGTTATTTCGTTCCAGAACAAGCACATGCCTCACCAGGAATATAGTTAAAAGTGTTGGTACGGTGTCAATACATAAGCCCTTCAGCGTACTAGCCATGCATTTGTTCCGGTGATCACTTCGTGTCTCGGGGAGAGAGAATTTATTGGTGGAAGGGGACAGACTTACAAGTTGTTAATACACGAAGCATGCATATTAAATGTGCAGCTCCTGTTACTACAGAAGCTGTTTCTCAATAACTGGAGCATGAGCATTTGAACAGTGAGCGTGGAGAACCTCGCGTGCTTGCCGGTGGCCAGCTCTCAGGTCCCGCGGTAGGCTGACGTGCTTATCGTACAGCAGGGCGATGCACCGACGTGAACATCTCCTGAAGTAAAAGGACAGAGCAACCTGCCATGCTCTAGATAGAGGGATTAGGGCTTTTCATAACACCTTTGTGAACTTGCTTTCCCAAGGGGGTTCTTTATTTTCAAAGATTTTTAGCTCTGTATTTACCAGGGAAGAAGGTGCATACATTTTTGGAATAACCGATTCTCCTAAAATTTGAGAAAACAAAGAGCCAGAGCAGTTTGACCCAAAGCTATCCTGAGTTACATATATTCAAAACTTCATTATCTGATTGCAGTACTTATATTTATTATTTTTGAGAGAAAAAAGCCTTTTTGTAAGTCTAATCAAGTATGTATTAAGGTTCTTACAGTTAATTAAACATTTAAAGGGTTCTGCAGCGTAGCTCCAAACACTTACCTCTCAGACATGCTTTGCATATGATATTTTACAACTTGTTTAATTTTAGCAGTCTCGTTTGAGAGATTTCTATACTGGCAAACCTGAGGCAGTGCTGATTTACATTTTTTTCCCTTTTTGTTCTTTGTACTTGGGTGGAGTTGAAAGCACCCAACCACTTATCCAGATTTATCCCCGGTTGCATTTGGCACAAATTTACCCACTATATTTACTCTTCATTGGGATGATAGCAAAGGAATGGGGAAATCCATAATAAAAGAAGGATGCTAAAGTTTTTTATTTGATCTACTTGTCTGCTGAGATTACATTATTCTAATAAACCACTATTATATCAATTAAAACAAGTTCCTCCTAATCATCATAAAAGAAGCAAGAAAATCAGTATATTTTGATGGCATATCTGTAAGACACTTTTTGAGTTGTACTTAGTTGGAAGCAACAGTCATCATAATTCTCCACAGACACATAGATCGCCAAGGAACAGTTCTACTATAGTAATTTTTATTTTAATTCAATCAATGCCACATCAAATATTCTTTAGCACTATAAGACTGAGCCTACGAATGACCTTCTCAGTCTAGCCTTGAAAATCAGGCCTGGATGAGAGATCCAAGGGAGGCAATAATAAAATGGCAAAGCCACCACGCGCTGAGGAGAGACTAGCACTGCCCAGCGTGCTTTGAACCAGCCACTTGAGTGATCGGACTACTCTTCGATATATTTAAAACCACTTGTGGTACTTACATAAAATGACTGTTTTTAAAAGGTCACATGATATAATAAATGTAAACCCAAATTATAACCAATATTATTCTTTGCAGCAGGATGGCAAGATATAAAGGTCATACTTAAAGGTAGGCTTACAAGAGAGCCTGCGGCGAGGCTCAGAAATCCAGTATCAGACCTGAAAAGCTGCAGGAGACTTTGTGGCCCTGGGTTGAGGGAGAGGCTCAGCTGCAGCAAACACTCTGCGCAGAGGGTGGGAAGGCATCTGGCCGAGGAGCCAGCAAGGGCCAGCTAGGAAGGGGCAGCAGAAAGTGGAAGATTTGTTCCAGTTGGGTTGGACAGGAGCCTGAACACCTGAACGGGCGTCTTTGGGCGAGTCCCACTGTTCAGCTGTGAAACTGGACAGCGTGAGTTTCTGGCTGGTTGTAAACAGCTTTCTTCTCATACCTGCTATTAGATTTATGGGAGTACCTTAAATGCACTTATTTCTGGGCACGATCCATCCTACGAGAAGTCTGACAGCTCCATAAAAAGTGCAGATTGCCTTGCTGTCGGCTTCTCAACAACCCTGCCTCCAGACGCCGCTCGTAGTGTTGCTGCAGTCAAGGCAGGGTCGCCCGAGCAGGCACCCAAAAGCGCCCCTGGCGTGCTGGCACCAGACTTTCCCTTGGGTGTGCCAGCGATTTCCCCCAGACAGAGGAAGAAAAAAGCTCAGTGTATGATTTCACCGTCTAGAAAACAGCCCCATCTATTTCCTCAGTAACCGCTTAAGGAGGGACTTACTTACAACATCAGATGGTTGCCTTCTCCATTATCTCTGAAGTAAAGTAATGGTGTTTCTTACATCATGCTGTACTTTAGGAGGAGAAGTTATCAATAACTGTGTTTAAGGTGGAGATTTTTTATATTTTCTTAGACTTTTTTAATGTTTAATAAATCTCTACTGCATTTTTCTTTCCCTGCATTGTCCTTCGTCAATAAAAATAAGTTATGAAGCAGGGGGATATGGTAGCAGGTGACATGATGAATTATCTCTTTAAGAAGCGATGTGCTTTTCCTCTACAGATGTAACATTGTACTTCCCAGGTAGTCGCGAGAAGGCTTTTGAGTAGGAGCTCTTAGTAATTTTGGAATGAGAATTAAACTCTTTATGTACTTTGACAAGTTTTTAGCAGACTTTTGTATAGCTGAGTTCTACAGAAACCCCTCCTCCCTTCGTTTGTGGGTACCACTGAAGTAAGACGAATCAGGATTGCATTCAGGTAGTAAACTAGTTTTTATTGCTACCTTTTACAAGCAAGACATCAACCAAGTTGTGTCATAACACAATATAATCCTGTAGTTCAGCTCATATGCAGCCTGCAGAACTGAGCAAAATTCAAATTGGAAACCTTTTTTAAAATGTCATTCAATTAACAGCATTCCCTGTCAGGTACAGATAAAATAGTTTTAATTTAGGCAAAAGGCGCTTTTTTATGCATCAGTCAAATAAAATGCTAATTATTGCATTTACGTTTTTATCTTTTCACTTTTAAAGGCTTTCAGATAATAGACGTGGAATTGAGTATCCTCAGCTGCAGTTAAGGTGGAGAGCCTCAGCTGCTTCTCCACCCAGGTTTCCATAAGCAAGAGTGTGGGGGATGTTCCCATACCAAGTGACTTCACACCCTGAAGCAGCCTGACCGCAGAGAAGGAGACTTCTCCTTCTGGAAACTGGCTCTTCCCAACCTGAGCTCTTTTCAGACACCAGCATCTAGAAGAGGTGGAAGAAGTACCCGACGTAGGATTTAGCTGTAACAAAAATATGTGAATCCCAGTCTGTGGCTGCTGCTGATGGAGATGTTTAAATTCACTCTGAGTGGTTTCCTGGCTTCAGGTTTGTAGAGGGACCCCCTCTGTGGTTTCTGCACGTGGCCAGAGTCGCTCTGCTCAGGGCACTTGCCACAGCCATTGCTAAGCTCAGCCACTGTGCCTGACTGCGGCAGAGCCAAGGACAGCCTCAGAGCCTGCTTCTCTCGTCCTCACACGTTTGAGCCCTGCACAAAGTTCAGCTGTTGTCAAATGTAGGAACCAGAGAAGAGTCCAAGATTTGGACCAAGAAGAGGGGTGCAGAAACCATGTGGGTTGAATGCCCAGTGCTTAGGGCACTCAATGTGGGAGAGGAAAGACCTGTATTTTCCCAAGACTATTTCCGCTTTGCGGCTGAAGACAGTTTAATGCCAAGTCCAGAAACAAATCTGGAAACTAGCACTAAAGCTGGACTGTGTGCCAAAACCGCTGCCCCATGGCAGCTCTGCCTTGCTCAGATACACCCCGCTGATGCTGAGTATCTCCGGGTGTTCAGAAGCTGGCAAACATAGCATGGCAAATGCTTGTATGGCAAAAAAGAGTTGTAGATTTGAATTGTTCTAGACTTCCAGCTTCTCTGATGGGTGCTTTAACCATGAGACTGTTAGGTAAAAGGTGGGCTGCCTGCACAGGGGAGGGATGCGGCTGAAACTTGGCTCTGTGAGACGAGGTGCTTCGCTGGGCTGACATTTCCATCACTGCAGAGCCATAGTTCAGTCCATCCCTCAAGTAAGGTGCCTGCTCACGAATGAGAATATAAAGTTAAAAATACAGAGTATAAATCTAAAAGCTCTTCAAAGCATTATGTAACTATGGAAGACATCAACTGTGAAAATTAAAAGGTTATGTTATAGTCAGGCAAATAAAGCAGATGCTTTCCATCACAAAGGTTTAAAGACTCTTCAGGCATGGAGATGGTTTCTGATATCAGTATCTGATACTCTCTCTTGCTGAAGTTCTGAGTTGTCATCAGCCTCCTACTAGATGTTGTTAGAAAAAGGATGGAAACCTGTAATTCCCAGCCTAAGCTTTCATGTCAAATATCTTAGTAGTTACATAATGTTTCCAATAGCTTTTAGATTTACACTTCTTATTTTTAACTCTATACTCTCACTGCTCATTTTGCTTTTTCACCTTCTTCCAGCTCTCCCTCCATCTCTTCTCAGAAGCCTTCTGTCTCAGTCCTTACCAATCAAGCTATTTTCACAAGCATTGCCATTAAGAATAGATAAAGAACTTTTAAATAAATTATTATCTTTGCTTAGAGAGATCCAGATGACCAGATGTGCCGGCCAATGCAGGAGGTCTGTTTGGCTGGGGGAGCCCATCTTCTTCTTAAAAACAGGTTTGGACTAAGTCAAAGTTGCACCAATTTCAGTTGACCCACATACCATACTATTTAACTCTTGTTTCATCTGCTGTGGCTCTCATTCTTGGTGTTAGGAAGATGCATCTACAAAAAAGCGTTCGATTAATTGCAGGTGGAAACTATGGGTAACATATGTCATCGAGCCCTAGCAGTAAACAGAACCAAGGTGAGCCCTAGTGGACAGACTTGCCATGAAGGCTGATGGAGTTTAAGAAATACTACTCAAATATTTGTCAAAAAAGCCTCCTCTTCAAACCAAACTTTTTATCTCGAAGCATTCAAAGAGACAAAAATCACGTAGCATACCAAGCTGCTGTAGTATAGCCCTAGCTCCATGTAGGTACAGAAGAGTGGCATGGCGGTGTGAGGAATTATGCATTGCTGTTTCCCACCTTCTGGCCATATTCTGCACACATCGAAG